GATCGAGTACTTGGCGAGGCATCGTGGAGCAGACGACCACTTGAGACCAGCTTCGAGGGACCTGGAATGGTACCAAGTCTACATGTTGGACATTTGGGCACTGGTCGTCCTCATCATCGCCGTGTACGTGGCATTCCTTGTGTCCTGTTGTCGCTTCCTCTTCTGTTGCTCCCGCGGCGGCGAGAATAAAGTCACGAGCAAGCGACAGAAAGTTTCTGGAAGTGAAGGAAAAAAGAAAGGGTTTTATAAACGTGAATAAGGCGGGTGTTACAAATGCTTGAAACAGAAATACATGTTTCATACTGAAAAAATGAGTTTTTTAATCGAGTTGGACAAACAATTCTGATTGACTTTGACCACAAATTTTAGTGAATGTTTCGCTGAACTGAAAATACGACGCAATGAATTCACTGGCACTTTAGATGCATTTGTGTCTTTCGACGATACCTTCGATCCATTTCAAAAGAAATAACATTATCCGCGAATAATGGTAACCGACCAATGAACTGTAAGATGAGTCATTTGTTCTGAACGCTCAGTCAATACAATAAGTCGTCGTTTGACGTAAAATATACGAAAAAAAACATCAAAATACAGTATGGGACCTCTCTAAATCTGATTTGATTCAAGGACCAACGAAAAATTCAACTTATAGAGGTTTCGAGTTAGAGATGTTTAGGTCTTTAGGAAACTACCGTAGGTTTGAAAATGTTAGCTGTAAATTTGCTTGCTGCAAAGAAATGATTGGGTCTGACATTTTTACTGCAACTGTCAGAAAGCTTTTCCTTAATTATTCCCACAACATAAAAAAGGCTAACCACAGTAAACTGCAGCATAAATGAGTCTATACACGATACAGAACCTCAAGCCAGGACTTCATGAACCTATGAAAGTTGCTCATTTTCCTTTCCAAAAGCATTGCCATATGAATTTCCCGCCTTACTTGTTTGCGAAAATTTCATTCATGGAGGTTCAGGTTACATTTTTTCATGGGAACTTCGGACAGCGATTAGAAAAAAATTCGAGTGAGGGAGGTTTTGGATTTAGGAGTTTCAAATCAAAGAGACCCGACTTCACTTGAAAAACATGGGAAACGTTTTCCAACACCATGAAGCACATAAATATACTTTTATCCATTCGAAAAATTATGCTAACACTCCTAACAGTCATACTTCCCGGTAGCAAAAACGATTTATTAAGTTAAAAAAAAAAAACACTATTGCTTTGTACGTCGTCCATCACAAAACTGGGTCCACTATCGGAAGCATATAAAGTGTTGGCATCTCGAGTCTCATGGCGAAACCAATAGAAAATAATTTTACGAGGCATCCATCATTTGGTGTACACTGTACAGTATCAATGTACGCAAAAAAGTAATAGCCTAAATCAATGTCATTACCAAGTATTAACGTACATTTCACAGTATTTTTTATTAAAACAATTTTGAAATAAANATCGCCATTTCAGGTCATCCAAAAACAAGGGCATTCATCACCCACGGAGGAATGCTAGGCACGCAGGAAGCATCTTATCATGGTGTCCCGATGATAGGGTTTCCCATGGGTGCAGATCAACACTTGAATCTTGTTAAATCCGTACGAGACGGGGTTGCTGTCAAAATGGATTGGGGAAATTATTCGGCGGAGACGATCGTAGACTCAGTTACTCTCGTCATCAACGACCCAAGGTAAGATTTGTTTTATTCAAACCAATCAAAATTGAATGATTCACTTATATCAGTGACTTGAACTTGGGGAGTTCTCGAAAGTCGTTGAAAAGTACTCAAGTAGTAAAGGAGTATAATTCAAGCTCACAGCAAATTTTTCAAAAGACAGGCATGAATAGCTTTCGAAAAATTCCTGATACACCGTAGTAATACAAAGATTCGGTCAATTCTAGAAAAAAGTGTGCATTAACTCGGATAATCCTTTACAGTATTTTACTGTAGCTTGGATAAATAACACCTGATTACCCAAGTACTAAGCGTACTCAAAGAAGACACATGCCACATTTCTTAGATCGAACATTTTAATAAAAATGCATCCCCAAATAAGAGGCACACCCCACTTCAGAGTCAGTGGAAGTCTTTATTATCTCAAGAAAAACTGCACGGAAAATCGAATTTAGACCTATATTGAAGCTGAATTCAATTTTTCTTGTTTCGCCTATCATATTTTAGCAGGGTTACTCCCTTTGAAGGAATTTAGCTATGAAGATTTTGCAAAAAATTGAAAATCTCCTCAAAGTGACTCGCCTTAATTTCTCGCCTAAATTTAGGACCTATACCTAAATTTCTTATTTGGCCCCGCAAATCACGCGAATTTTTTGTGTGCTCTAGATAAAAAAAAATGCGTTGGTGAATGAATGAACAGAAATGCGTTGGTACTCAGGAAAATACGGTAATACGTACAATTAAATAATTCTATGGAAAATTTACAAAAATGCAACAGTGAAAATTTCAATTTGAAATTCGAGTCAATCATAGAAAAATGGTAACTAATATTTGATGTGCAGTGAACTGGATGCTATAATTTTATTTTTGTATTTTTTATGTTTTTTTACGTTGAGTATTAGTTACGAGGATTTACAGAGTTTATACCCCCTTCATTTACTCACAATAAGTTATTTCTTCCTCCCAGCTATAAATCCAACGTGATGAAACGCAAACAACTGCTGCACGATCAGCCCGAATCGCCCTTGCAAAGAGCAGTGTGGTGGATCGAGTACTTGGCGAGGCATCGTGGAGCAGACGACCACTTGAGACCAGCTTCGAGGGACCTGGAATGGTACCAAGTCTACATGTTGGACATTTGGGCACTGGTCGTCCTCATCATCGCCGTGTACCTGGCATTCCTTGTGTCCTGTTGTCGCTTCCTCTTCTGTTGCTCCCGCGGCGGCGAGAATAAAGTCACGAGCAAGCGACAGAAAGTGTCTGGAAGTGAAGGAAAAAAGAAAGGGTTTTATAAACGTGAATAAGGCGGGTGTTACGAATGCTTGAAACAGAAATACATGTTTCATACTGAAAAAATGAGTTTTTGAATCGAGTTGGACAAAACAATTCTGATTGACTTCGACCAAAAATTTTAATGGATGTTTCGCTGAACTGAAAATACGACGCAATGAATTCACTGGCAATTTAGATGCATTTGTGCCTTTCGACGATACCTTCGATCGATTTCAACAGAAATAACATTATCCGCGAATAATGGTAACCGAGCAATGAACTGTAAGATGAGTCATTTGTTCTGAACGCTCAGTCAATACAATAAGTCGTCGTTTGACGTAAAATATACGGAAAAAAACATCAAAATACAGTATGGGACCTCTCTAAATCTGATTTGATTCAAGGACCAACGAAAAATTCAACTTATAGAGGTTTCGAGTTAGAGATGTTTAGGTCTTTAGGAAACTACCGTAGGTTTGAAAATGTTAGCTGTAAATTTGCTTGCTGCAAAGAAATGATTGGGTCTGACATTTTTACTGCAACTGTCAGAAAGCTTTTCCTTAATTATTCCCACAACATAAAAAAGGCTAACCACAGTAAACTGCAGCATAAATGAGTCTATACACGATACAGAACCTCAAGCCAGGACTTCATGAACCTATGAAAGTTGCTCATTTTCCTTTCCAAAAGAATTGCCATATGAATTTCCCGCCTTACTTGTTTGCGAAAATTTCATTCATGGAGGTTCAGGTTACATTTTTTCATGGGAACTTCGGACAGCGATTAGAAAAAAATTCGAGTGAGGGAGGTTTTGGATTTAGGAGTTTCAAATTAAAGAGACCCGACTTCCTTTGAAAAACATGGGAAACGTTTTCCAGCACCATGAAGCACATAAATATACTTTTATCCATTCGAAAAATTATGCTAACACTCCTAACAGTCATACTTCCCGGTAGCAAAAACGATTTATTTACTTCACTTGAAAAACATGGGAAACGTTTTCCAACACCATGAAGCACATAAATATACTTTTATCCATTCGAAAAATTATGCTAACACTCCTAACAGTCATACTTCCCGGTAGCAAAAACGATTTATTAAGTTAAAAAAAAAAAACACTATTGCTTTGTACGTCGTCCATCACAAAACTGGGTCCACTATCGGAAGCATATAAAGTGTTGGCATCTCGAGTCTCATGGCGAAACCAATAGAAAATAATTTTACGAGGCATCCATCATTTGGTGTACACTGTACAGTATCAATGTACGCAAAAAAGTAATAGCCTAAATCAATGTCATTACCAAGTATTAACGTACATTTCACAGTATTTTTTATTAAAACAATTTTGAAATAAAAAACCAAATAAAATATTGATATCGTCGCTCCAGGCGACGAGCACGCAAAAAATACAAAAAAGGCAGTGTTTACAGCGAAGACGAAGATATTTTGAAACTAATTTATGGGGATTGTTGAAAAATACACAGTAACTTCTCCCAACTCAATTATTTCCTTCTATTTCATTCCTCTCCCTCGATAGCAAGAAATGAGTCCTTATTTCCCACTTCCATCTGTCCGCTAAATTCCAAGTGCAGTAACATAAATATACACAGCAGATTCGACGAAGAACTCATCTTCGCGAAGTCTATCTGTATAGGAAACCGGAAATTTTATTCACATAAATAGACTTGAATATAAAAAAAAAAAACGATACTACTGTACTCACTGATCATCAACGAGAAGTCCAACAGCGGCAGCGGTGGTGAAAGTAAAGTCTGATGAGAACCTTGCTGGTGAACCATCCGTCGACAGACAGGAAGGAAGGAAAACCGTCGACAGGGTGACGCAACAAGTAGGAAGTGTCGCTTCGTCGAATTACTCCACAGTCCACACAAAAACCCGAGCACACGACACTCGCGCACGCCACTGAAAATCCTTCTTGAATTTTCGAAGAATTCAAAAGAATTTGAAATTTGTTTCGCGAAAAAATAAGTGGAATCTATTACAGTGATGCCTTGTGAATGCTCAAATTTCGCTAGTGTTCCTTTCCTTTGTTCACTGTACAAAATGATTATGTTTGATGAACTCCTTCCCAATTCTGAATCACAAAAACCAGGATTTGTCCGAGAATTAAAGGCAAAACGCGAATTTAATTGTCAGGAGAGTTGGAGTCCCAAAATAAACATACGTTTGGGATCATGATTCATATTTGATTAATGAAAGCAACTTTTTTCTATACCCCTGATGAGTTTAAACTGCTGTTAGCCGAGCTAAAACCTCTCAATATTGACTGTTTAAGATATTAATGTACTTATAAGGTATTTTCTAAGACGATTTTTATTCCTCACGTCCACCGAAAACCAAATCTTTTGCTGTGTTTTTAGCGACAACATGACGCGATTGATGATACGGAGCATCCTTACTCTGGTGTTACTGATCACTTCTTGCGTGCTTTGTGCCAACAAAAATCCCCCAACTACCAATGCTCCAGAAAACCGCGCAAAATCCGAGACTGGATCGAAAGCATCAGTAAACGAACCTGCGAACACCGCTCAGCAGGCGAAACAGAGAACTGCAACTGACGAGAAGGACCACACAAGTGCCAACAGCAGCAAAAACACTTCAGCAGATGCTAAACGCGCCGAGGAAACAGTGACACGATCATCAGCAAAGAACCAAACTCAACAGCAACAATGCTACAAAATTTTTATTGTTGCTCCCTTTGCGCCGAAAGGCGACAATGAAGTGTTCTCGACTTTGGCTGCTGGGTTGGCTGCCAGGTGCCACCAAGTGACTTCGCTGGTGGCATTTCCTGTGCAAAAATCGGTTATATTGCCCAAGGGAGTGAAAGAACTATCTTCGAAGACTTATAGAACGCTCAGTGACGAGCTACGAAGATTTACAAGGGATTCTTTCTCGAGATTTGCTACTTGGGACGCTATTAAATTCATCTGGGAAAAGGTAATTGCTCAGCTTCTAAAACCACATACTGTACCTTCTCGAGTCGACATCTTCAAAAATCAATTCACTGTGCTGCTTCCATGTTTGTACTCATTGAAATCGTACAAATTTCGCAGGCGAGACAAGCAGGGAACGTTTGCGAGAGATTCCTCGCCGATCCTTTGACAAAACGATTACTTACTGACGACGTAGAAAAGTTTGACATTCTCCTTCTAGCCCCGAGCTTGAGCGAAGAATGCCAACTGATCTTCGCGCAAATACACAAGACCCGCTTCAATACACCTTGGGTTCACTTCATCACAACTTCATCAGATTATTCCACGAGCCTGCTTTCACCCAATAGGTTTCTCGATTTACCCGATAAACAAGGCTTTTTGGAAAGGAGTCTCAACGCAATTTTGACGGTGTTGGCAAATTGGGTCCGAGTGAAATACGCTTACCCGAAGATCGAAGGTGTTCTGAGGAGAGAGGTGGACCCAACTTTCGATTCATTAGAAAAGCTCGAGGAAACCAGTGCTTTGTTGCTCTTGGGCAGCGACGAGATTTTGGGGTATCCAGCGGTTCGATCCGGGCAAGAAATCCAAGTTGGAGGTCTGCAGTGTCGGGAACCAAAACCCCTGTCGTCCGAGGTCATGAACCGTCAAAACCGTTGCTCATTTTTTAATTCTTAAACCCATCAATGAATCATGCCTCCTTATTTTACAGGAGTTAGAGAGTTGGTACCAAGAATCTGGACAAACCGGAGTACTGATAGTTGGATTAGGTTTTACGATCAAGGAATTATCCGCAGAAGATACAGCGACGTTTGCCACAGCTTTTGGAAAGATCAAGCAAAAAGTTTTATGGGAAAGTTCTGAGAACTCCACTGGACTCCCAAAAAATGTTCGCACGACCTCCGCCTTGACCCACGACATGCTCGGTAATTAAATTAAAAGAACTGTCTTTCGAAGTGATAATAATCATGATCCACGTTTAAAATAATTTCTAGATGACATTACATGAGGATGAAGAACTTTTTCATTGCACTTGTGTCAAAGAATTACGCAAAGCATTAGCCAAGTCAGAATTAGGTAAAACACAGTGCTTCGAGTTTAACCAAGAGCTTTTCATCTACCGCATTCTCTATTCCATCAAATGTTATGCCGCAATCTCCGAGAATACAAATGTACAGATTTATACCGATCACTTTCAATTTCACTTCAACAAAGTAATACTCCCCAGGCCACCCGAAGACAAGAGCGATCATTACAACCGGGTCGGTACGAGGAACACAGGAAGCCTGCTATCACGGCATACCCATCCTGGCCCTGCTCACGAACGCTGAGCAACGTATGAACATTCACAAAGTGGTTCGAGATGGAATAGGTATATCGTTGAGTTGGGCGAATTTAACTACAGCATCAATAATCAACGCCGTCAATGCCCTCACCAGTCCTAACAATCGGTACGTAATTCGTTCAAGCTCGTTAACCTGGGATAGCATTTGTACGCCGAATCTGAAGTGAAACTGTTCTTGAATTTGAAGTATCAAACAATGCTTAAAGTGTGAACAAAAAATGTGCCCTTACTTGCTTGAAATGAGTGCACTCGGACATATGCAGCTGGAGTAGAGCTACTCGTTGAATGAACGAAGAAACAAAAAATCGACTAAAAGCGAGCAAAAACGCTAAAAACTCTGAAATTGTGAACATTTTTTCGCATGTTTCAGTTTTAAGAAGAACATCCTGCGCAAGTCGCGATTGATGAAGAACCAGATGACGAGTCCGCTTGATCGCGCCATCTGGTGGCTCGAGTTTGTAGCTCGTGAGAAGGATACACGGTTGTTGCGCCCAGCAATCCGCGATATGCCGTCGTATCAAGTGCATCTTGTTGACGTGGCATCGTTCTTGGTGATCCTTCTCGTGCTGCATTTGTGCGGAATCGGCCTGACGCTTTTGTTCTACTGCAGATGCCGCAATAAGCGGCGAGAAGTTGACAAGGATCTAGGCAGCATTTTCAACTACGATTCTGGAAGTTCTAATCGGGGTTCTAGAAACAAGGACGTGTTCAAACGTGATTAGTCGCATGATTTCAGTGCTTGATGCCTCGGCATGTAAATTTATGTTACAGTGTTGCTCCAGTTTTATTAGCAAGACTCTGAGAAAGATGAGATTGGAAATTCTAAAAATAGTTGATTTCAGAGTTTTTTCCCTAAAAGATTATAGAGCACTTCTCTAGAGTCTCGATTTCTTTGTAGATAAACAATACAGGAGGTATAGATCCACTGATTTCATCCTCTTGAGTGAAAAAGGACGACTTAATTGCTTATATTTAACAGAAATGCAACAAATTATCAGGCAATAAATAATGTCTATCTTCTGTACATGCTGTACTCGCTTGGGATAAATTTACTGTGCAAGCAGCATCTATTCTTTCTGGAAAGGTTACTTTAAACGATCAAAGGAGCTTCTATATATGCAAGTACAGTAGTTCAGACGACACGTAGAATGCCTCATGATGTACAGTATAAGATGAAATTACGTGTAAGCATACTGCTTAATACAAAATCAATTATTCCGACGGAAATGTTATTCACCAGCAACTGAGGCATCCATCATGCATGCATATAGCTTTTATTTATTGTTTATTCGCTTTTTATAAAATGTTAATGCATATACTGTATTCTTCTGAAAGGTTCCGACGTGAGCATATCAGCTATATTTTGTGTGTGAAATGAACTCGTTCTACGAAATGTTGGATAAAAAACTATTCATTTTACACAAATCGGATGTAGATATACATAGATTGAGAAAATAAATTATTCCTGCATATTCGCGTAAATTTCAAAGGCCATGATGCAATTCGCTCATTATAATTTACAGGCCATCACACGAAAAAATGCAAAGCGTGCATACCCAACGCGTAAAAAATTTGACTTCACAATTTCGGGATGATGATACAAATAAGGTATTGCGAAAAGAGAGCCGATCAACAGTTGAAAAAATTGTAATATTGAGTAGTGTCTATCGATCCTCAAAACCAATGAAAATTACAGCAACTAAGCACAAATAAGTGAATGGATCATACTAATTGTCTTCCCAGAAGAATCAAGAATGCACTCTATTTTAATGTATTACTGACCAGCCTACAGTATATTGACCGACGTCGTCACTGAATAACTTTTGAAAAAAAAATACTGTACTCAGGCGGCTCTTCACAGAAGGGCAAACAATCTTAAAAGTTTGATTCTGCCGTAATGTATCGTGTTTTAAACTTATGTAGCAGCGGAAGTATGTTCGATGATTTGATGTAAGATTACTCATTTCACACTTTTATGAAGACTTTTATTTTGCCTGCATTTATAATGTGCTCAATTTCAAGGTACACCCTTTGATTTCGCGTGAGCCAGCATTTAAAAAATCGCGTCTTACATTCGCATAAATATGGTAACTTTCTTCGCAAACTTTTGATGGTAACTTTCTTCGCGAAATTTTGCTTTGTTCGATCGATAATCGTCATGGTCGCGGTAATAGCCAGCATTTAAAAAATCGCGTCTTACATTCGCATAAATATGGTAACTTTCTTCGCAAACTTTTGATGGTAACTTTCTTCGCGAAATTTTGCTTTGTTCGATCGATAATCGTCATGGTCGCGGTAAATTTTTCCGGTGTTGTAGTGTTGAGATCAGCGCCTTCTCCTTCGCAGTGCGGGAGCAAAACGAATATCGCTTACCCCAACTGCCTTCATCCAAAGCTTCTCTTCTTCCGTGATGCTGAAAAAGAAATACAGAGTATGCTCTCAGATGAAGTGAATTCCTCTTATTCAATTCATAAGAACACGCGTGGTCTATACGAACTAGGCTTCTCCGGGCTTTTTGGCGACGTGTTGCATCCAGTCCTGCAGCAAACCCAGAACCCTTCGTGACTCTTTGTCAGTCTGTCTAACTTTGTTCCCTGATGCTAAAAAGCCTCCGCTTCGCTTCTGTTCCTGCATGATAAGAGCTGACGCCGAGGAGCCGAGTTGTTCAGCGAATTCCTGTCATAAATGGAGTGAGTTTCAGATGAAGTGTGGTTCTCTTGGAAGTGGAGAGTGTTGTATAACTTGCCTTGAAATCACAGTCGCTTTGACGTAACCCTCGCATGATGTGGATATGAGCGGCCGCTGCAGCCCATGGAGCGTAATGCGTTTCAGTTCTGAGGTATTCCACGATTGCAGAACAAACGATTGGGATCAGCAACCCGGCGTGACATAGCATCAGGCTGTCACTAATGATCTGTCAAAAGCATTTGCATCAACAGATTCAGGCTTACATGAATGGAGCTAACCGCAGCTGGCGTGACATCTACACGACGCGGGATTAAATGCAGATGGAAAGAAAAGCTGGATCAACACACTTCCTTTCTTGCATTGTGTCGAATTTATGCGCCCCCATGGATTTTTCATTGACAAAAGTAAAATTCCATGAACAGGCGAATATAAGCACCTGCTCACTTCCCGTTTGCTGACTTTTCAGAACCTGATTTCTTTAAATACTAAATTTAGGTTTTCCTCGGAAAAGGAAAAAGAATGTGCCACACAACCCTTGATTTTCCACTTCAGGCAATTACTGATGCATCTTGACGTGTTGAAAGCTGACCATTGTTCGATCTCTTTTTTAAACTTTAATTCCGAGAAAACAGCAGAAGAGAAGTGCTCGATTGTTTTGAGGACTGCAAACAGGAATATTTCCTGAAACACACGCATCATATGTACGCAAATTTCAAAAGCATTCGCATACAAATATAAAAACCCACTAGTTTTTGAGCTTTTGAAATTTTGAAAAAATTGGTGCTTGTATATTTGGGCAAATATGGTACAATACTTACAATCGGGTTGAATCTGAAGTGTTACCAGCATTCAATAAGTAAATAAACGTATGGTTGCCGTTCAAATTTTGAAAATAAATGGCTTGCTAAATTGCAAAAGTGATCGTGTTATACAGTATACTATATATTACAGTTGAATTTCGGTTTCCTGCTGACTTTTTACCTGTGCCCTGTTGAGAGGATGAATTGCGGAGGGATCTTCGTTCAATTGTCCGAGGATCGCTGCCCAATTGTCCAAGTCGTAGTTGACCAAGTAATAACCGGATCGCTGAATGTTGAAAATGATCCAATCCGTTTCCTCTGGTTCTTCCTCGAACGTCTTGATGGATTCGATTTCATTGATCATCCACATCTTGGGCTGTGTGATGTTCTTCAAAAAGAGAAAGAAACACCACATACATTAGCCATACCTGGTGTACCCGTGCAACCTCCGCAACCAGGCGTTTAGGCGGCAAAAAAGGGTGCTTTCTTTGGAAAGGACAGCTAGTTGTGTGTCATGTTGAGCTTCCACGATTTTCTATAATTTTTTTCGATAATCAAGCCGGTAATGTAACACAGCATAATCGTGTTCTAAAAATTATTGTTCATAGGTTGAAGCCTTCTCAAGTTCCAAATCCTATGAATGGGTCGTTTTCTCTAACAATAATGCACATTATTGCAGAGAATGACTCATCCGGCCCTGAACTGATGGGAGGCGACATCTAAGTGACCCACATTTCAGCATGAATCACAATGGATTGCATAGTGCAAAATAACACTCATTTTCAAAGGTTGCCTTCTATAAAAGTCAGACTCAAATACAGGCATTTTGTAACAATAATTCCATGGTATAATAAATTATTCATTAAATAATCTCAAAATTGTTGAAAGCTTCTGGAAGAAACACCCATAAGACATGGTGCTGAAAAACGTCTTTATAAAAAACTTACAAGATTCTTTGCATCAATTGCATTTTTGTGGTTTTCCCAATGTTTTTTTTTTCAATCAACATAATTTTTGAATGTGTCTCCCAGTCCTCATATGTGTTTCTCAAAGATTTTTATAAGATGAATTCTGAATCAGTATATCTTTGACACTTCATATGCAGCATGGTGAAAAAATGTACCTCACATAAAAAACCCCCAGATTACTTCAATGAGAACATTTGGTACATAGTTTTTTACTAAGGAAACTTTTTTTGTGATGAATGTTTTTCTGCATTTTGGTAAGAAATTAAGTTATTTTGGTCAATAATACTGTGCAAAACTGTTTTCTGATTAGAAAAAAGTTGGATTTGAACAAGTTGATCTCTTGCTTAGAATTATTGGGGTTTTATAGAAAACTCATCTCAGTATGAAGCACATTTTATTTATAAGCTACTATGTTTAAAAGTCATTGAAAGAGTATTTAAACGAGATTTGACCTGCATTTTCTAACACAAAGCCAGAAAATGTGAGCTTGATGTTGTTATCCTACAAAATACTTGACACTTTGTTTCAAGTTTCTTTTCTTCTAATTTCATTTTCTGAGCTCAGATAAACATGGGAAGAAAACTTTCCCATGCTTGTATATTTTTATCCTTGTTTTGGTTTGACAACTTTTGCCCTTGCCTGCCTCAAATGTGCATGACCCATTTTGCTTGCAGGCTCACATTTAATGTTCCTTTCCTGTTAAATAATCTGTTGACAATAATGTTCTGTTGACAGGTATAAATGGTAATTGCTGTTCTCACAAATTCAGCTTCTTTTATTCCTGATAATATGTCTGTGCTATAGTTCCTGAGATATACATCCTGGTTCCAAGACCTGATGGACACGCATCCTCAAATCCCAAAAATATGCCATGATCCCAATATTCCAGAAGCTATATATATTTGTGTTTTCCCTGGAATTGTTAGAAGAATCTTACCTGAGAATCAGAACTGAGACTCTCGCAATGTTGATCACTGCTGCCCCTAAAATTAATTAAGGAAATAAACATGTGTCACTTCAATGGTTACAATCTTCACAGATGCATCAAGAAATTGTCTCTGAAAAATCCGTGGTATTTGCTATACTGTAGTTGTTTTTTTCTTTTGCCTAATATTGTACTGTATCAAGTAATATATTGTGAAATTTTGTTACAACCCATTTTTCAGCATAAAAACGTTTTCCAAGTCTTGGCAGAAATTCCATGGACCAAATAGAGCGGTGGTCTACAGACTATTGCACTGGTCTGCAGAAGTTTCTTGCCAATTA